GGATGTATAAAAAGCCTATCACAAGAATTAAGCCACTGAGCTTCATTGTTTCCCATTTCTGAATCCTCCAATGCTAAATATGATCTCAATTCCCAATCTCTAGCCCATGTCTGGAAAGAGGGCACTAAGTATATTAAGTACAGTAAGTATATCTACTAACTAAATCTTAAACTATTTCTCTCACTGTTCTGAGCTGGGCAAAGGCTGATGTTAGCAGCCCTCAGGAGTTCCTACCCTCTGTGGGAAAACTGTGGGCCAGTTCTCTCACTGAGCAAAATTAGTGGACCTGTCTTCTGTAGAGTAAAACTTGCTGGCTGCATCTCCATTGGTGAGCCTCTTCTCTCCAGGGGCAAAACTGTTGCCTGCAAATCTCCAAAGCCAAATTGCCATCTGCCTCACTTTGTATGGAAATTGCCGATTGTGTCCCCATTATGGAGAAATAGTCAACCTTGTCTCCAAATGGAAGAGCCTGCCAGCTGTGCTTCTCTATGGAAGAGACGTCAGCAGAAGTGAGCAATGTAAAACCCAAGCATGAGTCTGGGTCTAGTCCTTCCTCATCACAAGCAAACCTTCTTGTCCCTCTCATTTGTCAAGGTCATCAGAGCCAAGGTGATGGTGCCATTGAAATGAGACATTTAGGGGTTGGGGATTTAGCTTAGCAAGCGCAAGGCCCTGGGTTCGATCCCCAGCTCTGTAAAAATAAAAAATAAAAAGAAATGAGACATTTAAACCAAAGAAATGATAGTCCAGAGATGGCCTGTTACAGAGATGACACTGAACGGACTCAGCAGGTTGTATTTATATAATTATATGTATGTATATATGTAACAATAAGAAAGAAAAAGAGAGGAAAAATCATAGGCTAGAAGCAGACCAAGTTCAGATTTTGGCCACAAGGACACCTGTATTGACTGATTGATTCATGGGAAAGAGGCTGAAAGACTTATGAATGTTGAATGAATTCATACCATGCAGTACATAGGAGCTCAAGAGGTAGTTTTTAAGAGTGAGCTAATTCTGAACCCAACCTGAACTCAACTCAGTGTCCCATGATGGGAGTGGGAAGGGGAGCGGAGGAGAGTTCAAGGCATGTGGGTGGAAATACATTAAGTACATCCAGGACATGAGCATGTGGGTCAGCCTGAGTATGGGAACAGAGCAAGTGAAAGCACACAGTGTGGAGTGGACAGGTGGGAGGAGTGTCCTGGGCGGCTTGCTCAACCTTGCTGGTCAGTTCCTTATTCTATAATAAGAATAGTGGTAGTTGCCAGCTCAGACATTTGAGCATTAGATGAGATAATAGATGCATAGGCACATAGATAGATACATAAAGACATAGATCTTAAGGAGTAAGAAATGGTAGCTTATGTTATATTGGCATCTATAAAACACATACATGTGCCCTGATGGTGAATCTGCCATATCTCCATTGAGTAGGTCTAGGCTACCATGATTCCCATCAGGACCATTTCCTCATAGACATCAAAGCTTGTCTCATCTCCCATGGTCCCTTCTTGTCTTCTTTCATGTCTTTTTCCTGAAATCTGGTTGGAAGCCCTGAAATTCAGCAGACTTCTGGTGCCAAGCCAAGGGGATCTCTGGGGAAAATTGAGGACACAGATCCTGTTTGCCACGTTCTCAGCAAAATCTGAATAACTCTGACACTGAAGCAGAAGTGGTTCCCCAGTTCTTTTATTTCCACCATACACAGCTTATAACATGGTAAAACTCAATTCACCATCGTAGCTAAATTTGTGTGACTGCACGACATTTATCTCCTCCAATCCTATGAACTGCTGAGTCCATTTACCATTGCTTGTATGTATTATTATTTCAGGGCTGGCCACTTGGTATTGGCTAGCCAATTAGGGGGCTCCGTCTTGATGAATGAAATATGACTGACTATCACAGAGCAGAATCTGATAATGATAAAAATACTGACCAGCATTTATTGAGGCTCTACTATGTGCAAGGTCATGTGCTAAGCAATGTGAAGCCCTATCTGGCAATTGGGAAAACAAGCTACAACAATCAATACAGTGTCCACAGTCAGTCACCGATGAGGCCAGGTGAGGACTGTGTGCAGCATATAGCATGTTCTGCCTCCTTCCTCAACTCTCCCTATCCTCTCTCCGATGAGACGTTTGACTTGGAGTTTCCAAATCCCAGTGCTAACAACATTACTGGGAGCTAAGACAGATGGGAAATGTCTCATGTAGTTCTCAACTAGGAGGGTGCCAGCCAGAAGCCAGAAGCTATATTGAGTAGGACCCTAACTCAAGCAGGTGATAGAGAATGAATAGATAACAGGTTTTATAGGTGGTTATTCTAATATCGCCATGCCAGTGACTCTCTCTCTACAAAGAGTATGATAAATAGATTAGTTGTTTGTTCCTGAAAGAGGAAGAGGAGGAAGGAGGAGGAGGCAGCATCATCGGCGGTAACAACAGTAGGGACGGTGGCAGCACCCAGGGCCATTCGGGGATGCCTCCCTGAGACAGTGAGCCTCTCTTGCTCCTGTTCCAATGAATGTCCTAATTCTCATTACTAAGGGTTTTTTTGTTCTTTTAAATTGTTGTGTGAGTGTTAATGTTTGAATTTGGTTCCGGTTTAATGCAGCAAGGTTTAAAAAGGAACCGCTGCTCTTGGGCTCTCTCGGCAATGAATGGCCTTCTGCCATGCAAGTGAAAGAACACTCAGGAAATAAGCTGCCTTGGAGGCCCGCTAACCCAGCAACCTCAGGCCAGGGGTTGGCTCTAACTCAGACCTTCATGTAACATTTACTAGACTGAACCATAAGCAACTGCCATTTTTATAACTGAATCTCATAGGCAAATGCATACGTTAGACATAACACAGGCGAAGAACCCAAAAGTCAAAGACTAGTAAATCTGGCTTTAGACCTAGTCAAGCAACGAACAGTTATTGAACATTTGTCAGCATGGCTATAGGTACAAGGAAAACTGCAACCAAAATCCTGCTCTCAAAAGTCTCGCCTCCTAGTTAAAGAGATGAAACAAACTCATATTATTAAATAGTGTTCAAGCAATAGAAAATATGATAAGGGCCACGTGTGATGGCACACGCCTTTAATCTCCTGCACCAAGGAGGCAGAGGCAGGCGGATCTCTCTGAGTTCCAGGCCAGCCTGGTCTACAAATGAGTTCCAGGATAAGGGCATCAGAAAAAGAAAAGATCCCTAGAGGTGAAATGTGTAGTGATGGTTCATGAAAAACATGAATCAATGAATAAGACGACATCGGGCATTGTGTCAAAAGGGGAAATTTGAAGATATAGCCCATGTACCTAATGGAAGTCAGAGAGAAGAATTGGATGCCATTTACAAAGGTTTCAGTGACATATTGAGGAGTAATGCCAATGAGAAGTGGAAATCAGCCACAGCCAGCAAGAAAGATCCTGAGAATCTAAAACCTTGAGTAAGTGGACAATGTTCATGAAGGACATTGCAGCCACCATTTACATGTAAGGACACCTGGGGCACCTAAGTCACCCAAAGCACAACCTGACCTTAGACCTCATACAGTCAGGAGCTTTCCTACACCGCAATCCAAGGAAAATGAAAACACTTGTCCTTGTACAAAAAGCTGTACATGAATATTCACAGTGCCATTATTTGTGTCTGTGGGAACAGCTCAAATGCTCATCAATTTATCAATGGGTCAACAGAATACTGCAATCCCATGCAAAGATTTAGCCATGCAAAGAACATGCCACAGCATGGTAAACTTTGCAAATAGTATGGTATGTTAAGTCTGGCACAAATGACCTATGTTCTATTGTTGCATTTATGTGAAATTGCTAGCATAAAGAACCCAGAAAGTGGATTAATATTTGCCTAGAGTTATAGGAATGGGAAATAAAGGGTTTTGTTCTGATGGTTTTTGTTTTGTTTTGAGAAGGAGTTGGTAGAAACATCTGAATTTAGATTGTGGTTTGATTGCATAAATACATCATGATACATAAAACCACTGACTTTTGCATTGTATTTTAGAGTAATATAGATTATGTGTTTTAGAAAAAAACTGAAAAAATGTTTAAGCACGTAAAAATGACTCCAAGATCTCGGGATGTAGCTAAGCGGTGCTTGCCTAGCATACCTAAGACTTTGGGTTTGCTCACTAACACCATAAAAAAGGAAATGGAGAAGAGACAGGTGTAGACAAAGTCTAAACAGTTTTAGGAAATAGCCAAAGAGATCAGAGCAATGGCCATGACTAGCTTTAGCTTACCACCAGCAGTAGCTTCCCCAGAGAGAGAGAGACCTCTTCCTGTCTAACCTGCACTTTTATTGCTTTCTTGTTCTGCCTTCTGGCTCTTAGCCCAGCTACATGACTTCCTCGTCACTGCCTGTCTATACAGACCTCCAGGTCTCTATGGTTGGTACTGGGATTAAAGGTTCATGTCACCATGCGTGGCTGTGTCCTTGACCACACAGAGACTGTCTGCCATGTAATTGGATTATAAGGGTGTGTGCTACCACCGCCTGACTTCTGCTTATGACTCGCTATGACCTCTGATCTCCAGGCAACTTTATTTATTAACATACAAATAAAATCACATTCAGCCCAAATAAAATATCACCATAGACAGAGAAGAAAGGGAAAGAAAAAAGAGAATCCTGAGATGTCTCCAAGTGTGGACATGCACATGACATCCAGAGAAGAGGACAAATGTGATCCAGATCTTGGGTTTTCAAACAGGCAGTGTCCCAGCAAGCAGAGCGTTAGGTCCCATGCCAATTCCTTGAAAACACAGTAATCCATCAGGTTTAGGTTTTTTGTTGTTGTTGTTGGTTTTTTTTTTCTTTCTGTTTCCAGGGAGCTAACACTGTTGGCAACTTCTTTATATTCCACAGACACCTGCCCTACATAGAAACTCTGAGTTCACTGTCAGCTCTCCGGCTGGCCCAACTTTAGAGTCTGTTCACAAGCCTGTGCTGTATTCATCATGCTTTGCTTTTGTTTTTCTTTTGTTGTACAGTTTTTGAAGAGCCGGAAGATCCAAGCAACAGATCGTTTTTCTCTGAAATTATCTCTTCAATTTCGGATGTGAAGTTCAGCCACAGTGGGAGGTATATCATGACCAGAGACTATCTGACCGTGAAAGTCTGGGACCTCAACATGGAAAATCGCCCTATCGAGACTTACCAGGTACAGAACACTCCCTTTGTGGGCTTTTACATCAGCCTCTGCCTGCAAATGGTTGCGGTGCAGAGATAGAAGGCTGTTCATAGTGATGTGTTACATAAAATACTACAGGCTGCAAGTGCCATAGGATTTAAGATAAGGATGCATGGGGACTAGTAACAGTTACAGCCTGACAATGCTACATGGGATGGGTACCATAGCCGGAGTGTGCCAGACAAGCACAGCCTTGCTCTCATGAAGCTCTCTAGTGAGGAAGCTGACTGATAAACAAAGGAGCTCACTGCCTTTGTGCAAGGGATGGTGCTGAGGCCCGGGGAGCCCAAGGCAGGGAAACCTTGCAGGGTAAGGAAGGTGAAGACGAAACCGTCATGAGCTAGTTAGCAAAGTCATGCGCTTAGAAAAATACCATGGCCAAAGACCTGGGGTAAAGAGAACTGTGGTTGGGAAAGTTTTCCGTGATTGTGGAACAGGCAGGCAGAAAGTTGAGCCTGAAGACAAAAGCAAAGCGGGGCCTGGTCTTAATAAATTCTAGTACTGAGAGCTCTACTTGTCTCTGGCTGGGTGCCGTGGAGATCTGTAGAAAGGGTTTTCTACCAGGAAATGGCATTGAAAACAATGGGTTCCACTTTACAGTGTGACAGGCAGGCTGCAGGGAAGGAGATGGTGCTGATGTGGGCTGAGTGACAGGGAGGATGGAAGGATGGGGAGGATGGAGAGGCAGTGGCATATGCTTCTAGACCATGGAAGGGTGAAAAGTCAAGGACTCCATGTAAGAAGTTCTTGCCTTAAGCACTGGGTAGAGGGTAGCAGAATCACTGTTGGACGGATCAAAGGTATGGCTCCAGGGTATTTTTATTGAAAGAGCTTGAACAGACCTGGAGGTAGAAAGGATTTAAAAAAGCCAGGCAAGGGACAAGGAGAAGACGGATCAAGGGACAGAAATAACTGCTCTTATTTCTATATATCTTTAATTAGATAAAAAGAAATGAGGCAGGGAAAGGGGAATCTAGGCAGACAGATTTGATTGATATTGTTTTACTTGAGATACAGTTCATCTACCACAGTATTCACTCATTTCAGAATACACAACTCCCTGGGTTTTAGTATATTCAGAGTTGCAGAGCCATGCCCAACTCCAGAACATTTTGTCACTATGATTTTAAAACATCATTCTAGTTGTACTGGGGAGGAAAAACTTTGGCAGAGAGAAGTGAAGAGACAGAAAGAATGGATTTTAACATTTTTACACTCTGTCTTAAGGGTTTCTATTGCCATAATGAAACACCATGACCAAAAGGCAAGTTGGGGCTTAGAAAAGGGTTTATTTGGCTTACCCTTCCATATTGCTGTTCATTATTGGAGGAAGTCAGGACAGGAACTCAAACAGGACAGGAACCTGGAGGCAGGAACTGATGCAGAGGCCATGGTGGATAGAGGACTGCTTAGTGGTTTGCTCCCCATGGCCTGATTTCTTATAGAACCCAGGACCTACAATGGTCTGGGTCCTCCAGCAATGATCACTAATTGAGAAAATGCCTTACTGCTGGATCTCACAGAGGCATTTCCTCTCTGAGGCTCCTTCCTCTCTGATGACTCTAGCTTGTGTCAAGTTGGCACAAAACCAGCCAGTACACAGTTTTTGGCAAATGGGTAATAGCATCTCAGATGGGGGTGAGCAACAGATGTTCCCAGATTTCTGATGTAGTTTCTAAGGTAAAATCGTCTAGAATCTGATGTATGTTTTAAGAGGGGAAATGCTGGGAGATAGCCCATGGTTTACCATCTTTAACCACTAGTGAGGTGGAGTTGACTTTTGATTTAGATGAGGAGATTGAGAGTTCTGTTTTAAACATGTTAAGCTAATGAAACACAGATGAGAGGTAAACAGCCCAGGGCAAGTACAGGAAAGGTCCTCAAAACCAGTAGAATTAGAAGAAGCCCCCTGGGCACATTTAAAGAAGGAACTGGGGCCTGCCCTTGGGGCCAGGTGTTTTCATGGCTGAACACAGGGAGATGATTTGGCAAAGGAGACTGAGGGGAAGGGGCCAGAGAGGTATAAGGAAAACTCAGAGGTGTGTTCAAGAGGCCAAGTGGACCAAATCTCTGGGTGGAAACAGCCACCAACCACACTGTTGCTAAACAAAAGAAAAAAAGTTGGGGGCGGGGTGGGGCGGGGCTTAGCATTGAATGCTGGCTTAGACATGCAGAGGTTACCAGTACCCTAACCGAAGAGTGTGTGGAACAGGGCTATCTGATCAGAAGACTTCATGAGACTGTGCAGAGAGGGTGTGAGCACAGAAGCTAGCTACTCTCAACAGATTTTATCTCGAATGAAAACAGAGAGTGGTTGGGTGGGTAGAATGTGGGCTACAGGCAGAAGGAAGTTACAGTGTTTGGGTGCTGATGGGAATAAACAGTGGAGAGACGAGTGAGCTGAGTCTTTGTGAGATACAAGAAGGGATGGAGCTGGGCAGTGGTGGCGCACGCCTTTAATCCCAGCACTCGGGAGGCAGAGCCAGGCGGATCTCTGTGAGTTCGAGGCCAGCCTGGGCTACCAAGTGAGTTCCAGGAAAGGCGCAAAGCTACATAGAGAAACCCTGTCTCAAAAAAACAAGAAGGGATGGAGTCCAGTGAAGAACTGGCCTAAGGGAGGTGAGTAGTTCATCTGTCAAAGGAAGGAGTGCTGTGTACGCAGCTCAAGATGCAGGGACTGATCAATGCCAGGCTGGGAAATCCACATTTTCTTACTTCTGTTTTCTCAGTAAAATGAGCAAGGTCATCTGCTGAATAAGAAGATGTTTAAAATGATGGTTTAACAGAGGGAGTACCATAAGGTTACTCACGGATCAGCATGAGGTCTATATTGTTCATTGAAAGCCTTAGGACCTTGGAAGGAACTGGGAGTATAACTTGGTTGGTAGAGAACTTGCCTAGCATGCAAAAAAAAAAAAAAGCCCTTGGTTCATTCCCCAGTAATGTATAAACTGGACAAGGTGGTGCACACCTGTCATCCCAGCACTCAGGAAGTGGAGGCAGGAGGATCAGAGACATCCTTAGCCTAGGATGCATGAGAACTTGTCTCCAAAAATTATTTTTAATCAAATAAAATAGGACAAATAAAACAAGACAAGTATATATGATTGTGTCTTCCAGTCACATTCACCTGTGTGGCCCAAGTGACAAACAGAAGGATGTAAGCCAATGGTGTAGTTTTGTTAAGGGAGTATAATTGAAAGAGAGAGCTTTGTTGAACATGTGCACTGAGTGAAGCTGTCGTGACAAATGCCAAACTTGAGGAAGCCAAGGAAGAATGAAGCACTTGGGTTAATGGTCTTGAAGAACTGATGGGATCAGGATACTATGAACTAAAAAGAAAGGGTGTAGCAATAAAAGTAGACTTGGCACATTAGATACTGTTGTAGTCACGTGACAGTGGGGGGTAGGCAGGAAAATCATTGACTATGATGGACCCAGTAGTAAATAAACAGGGTATCTCAGTCACTGAAAAAGATGGCTGAAAGAATGGAAGAGAGAGGGAGATACTCAAGTTGCTTCAAGGAATGACTCAGTGCTTTTGATGATGTAAGGCCAGTGCATAGCAAGAAGCTGAACTTGAATGTGTAATATCAAAGGAACTGAGAATAAGACAGGAACAGTAGTCATGAACAACATTTTAGCACATAGACTTGAGAGCAAAACCCCACAGCATCCTCCGAAAGGAGTAACAGTTGTCTTCTGAGACAAGAGCAGGAAGGTAAGGGTAGCACACAGAGTACCTTCCTGTACCAAAGTCACTAGGACATAGGAGTAAAGGCTCTAGGTAGGCACCAGCTGGACTTCTCCATGTTCAATGTTGTGGAGGTGTTGTCTTCAGCAATAGGGCCTTGCCATCAGTTTCTGGATACCAACCTATAGCCTTGGCAATAGCCTGGTTTATTTGGGGTTTCTCATGGGACCCCTTTGGCCAACAACCCAATTAGATGTGGCCCATCCCTGGTATTGGAAGCTTCATTTGGTGATAAGAGATGTCCAGTTGGGGATCTGTCTCTATTATTTGGTGATTTCATTTAGATCATCTTTATATATGTATATGTTTTAGGAAGCTTCTACTGTATTAGGTTTCCATACTACCGTTCAAATGGCTCTTAATTTTAGTTCTCTCTCCCCATATTCCCTCCCTTATTACTGTCTTCCCTCCCCTTCCCTACTTGAGATCCTCCCATTCCAGTCACACACCCATCCATCCATCCATATCTATTCTATTCCCTTTCCTAGGAAGATCTATCTGCACCCCCTAGTCCCTTACTCTATACCTAACCTTTGGTTCTACAGACTGTAGCTTGCTTATCATTGACTTAATAGCTAATATCCACATATAAGTGAATATATACTATATTTGTCTTTCTGAATCTGAGTTACCCCACTCAGGACTTTTTTTTTTCTAGTTCTATCCATTTACCAACAAATTTCATGATTTCACTTTTTTAACAGCTGAGTAATACTCCATTGTGTAACTGTGCTACATTTTCTTTATTCATTCTTCTGTTGAGGGATATGTAGGTTGTTCCCAATGTCTGACCATTATGACTAGAGCAGCAATGAACACAGTTGAAAAGGTGTCTCTGTGGTCGGATGAAGCGTCCCTTGGGTATATGCTCAAGAGTAGTTTAACTACATCTTGAGGAAGATCAATTCTGATCTTCCTGAAGAACCTTCACACTGAACTCCATAGTGGTTGTACAAGTTCTCAGTCCCACCAGCAATGGAAGAGTGTTCCCCTTACTGCACTTGCTCAACAGCTTAAGTTGTTTTATTGATCTTAGCCATTCTGACAAGTGTAAGATGAAATCTCAAAGTGGTTGGGACTTGCATATCCCTGATGACGGAAGGTATTGAACATATCTCTGTTTCTCAGCCATTTGTGGAGAGGAATTTCTTCTATGGTTCAGTCTATTTGGTGTTTTGTATGCTTCTCATACCTTGATAGGCATCTCCTCCTTTAGTTTGGGGACATTTTCTTCTATGGTTTTATTGAAAATATTTCCTGTGCCATTGACCTTTGTTTCTTCTCCTTCCTTTATTCCTATTATTCACAGATTTGGTTTTTCATAATGTCCCAGATTCCCCAGATGTTTTGTGCCTGGGGTTTTCTAGCTTTAACATATATTCTTTGACTGAGATATCCATTTCTTTTATCTTATCTTCAATGCCTGAGTTTCTCTCCATTACTTGGAGGCTTGCCTCTGAGGTTGCTGATTTTGAGTTCCTAAATTTTTCATTTTCAGATTTCCCTCAGTTTGGGTTTCCTTTGATTTTATTTCCACTTTGAGGTCTTGAACTGTTTTTATTCATTTCCTTCCACTGTTTGTGTTTTCGTAGATTTCTTTGAGGGATTTATTCATTTCCTCTTTAAGGACCTCTATCATATTCAATTGTATCTTTTGCTTCAGCTGTTGCATTTCTCAGGAACTCCTGTAGTAGGGTCGCAAGGTTCTCATGGAGACATTGCCCTGGGTGTCACTGTGTTTTCACATTGGTATCCAGGTATCTGAGTTTGGGATGACTGTAATTCTAGGTGCAGACATCTGGCCTGTCTTTGTTGGGTGTTTTGTTCTGTTACATTCTCTGGTTCTTAGGATGGTGTGGTGGCTGTGTGTTGCCTGGTATGGAATGCTTCTGGGATCCTGCCAGGTGTGGCCTCTGGGGGTTCCAGGTACAACGCATTTCTAGGTACTGGGAGCTGGCACTTAGGAATGGGAATGGGTTAGAAGCAGGGCTAAGACAGCCCACAGGAAGGAGAAAGCAGGGTGTTTCACCAGTATCTGCTTAATGCCCTGGGAATGGGGGCAGAATGTAAGGCCAGACCACAGCAGGTGTTCTGCTACAGAGCTGGGGCTAAGACTGGGGGATTGGATTTGGAGGAAAGGAGAAAGAAGTGAAGATCTGCAGTTAGCCTACCTGCTTCCCTGGGAGATGTGGCCTGTGGCTTTCCAGGGAATGCCTGATGGAGTTACAGGCTGGGACAAAAGGGTGAGTTGGGATGCTGTGGGAGGAGGTCTTCTTGATCCTCTGGAGATGGAGCTGAGAGGAAGTGGGGGCTGCAGCAGATGATTTGCTGCAGAGCTGGGGATGAGATTGGGGGCGGGGGGGGGGGAGATTTGGAGGAGAGGAGGGTCAGAATGAGATCTGCAGTTAGCCTACCTGCTTTTAAGCCCAATTAATTTTAATGTTCCTGTATCTATATAGGTGTGTCTTTCTTTGGGAGAGATTTTCTTCTATAAGCTTTAAGATCTGGTCTATGCCATCATCCTGGGATTCTTCTCCCTCATCTATGCCTATAGTCCCAAGATTTGATCTTTTCATGGTGTCCCACAGTTCCTGTATAGTCCTTTCCTGTGTGATTTTTAATTTTGCATGTTCTTTGCTTGTGTGATCCAATTCCTCTACTTAATCTTTGAGACCTGATACTTTGTTGTCTCCTTAAAAGGCTTTCCCCTGAGTTTCCTAACTGAGATACTGAATGTTCTCAACTCCATCTCCCTTTCAGTTTGAGTTTTCAGTGTTTCTTTTCCTTTAAGGGATTCAGTTTTCAAATCCAGGGCTTTATCTGTCTCCTCAGAAGGGCTTCAGCAGCAGCCCCTCCTGCCCAGCCATCTGCTACTCAGAAGAAAGCTCAGGAACACTCTTTGACTCCGGTTTTCTGCTCCGCTCCTCAGGGTTGCTCTGTATCCTAGCAATGCCACCCCAGACCCCATCTAGAGTCTAGCTACTGTTCTTGCCTTAGTCTGAGCCATCACCGGTGAAGCAAAAGCCAGTCACTTGCCCTTGGACAGCAGACTTGGTGGTCCTTTCTGTGATGTCCTTCTTCACCTTGCTCAGAATCTGCTTACTCACTATATGGCTGTCATGTCATGCTCCTTCCCAGACTTGTACCTGTGGCCCTTTGTAGATGTTCTTCCCTATGGTTGGAAAGCCTTTCTTCCGGATGTCATTTGGACTCACTCACTCTCTACCGACATCTGAGGCCGTGTTACCTTATCACATATAACCTTGAGTGCTCATCCTACAAAATATAATGTCCCTCATCTCTCAGTGCCCTTCCCCACACTTTCATGTTCCGTGATTTTAGCGCTGCCTAAAACTTCTCATGTATTTATTCCATTCTGTGGTCTCTACCCCAGTGTTCTGCCTCAAACCCAGAGCAGACTTTTGGTGAACAGCCAAGTATCAAAATGAATACTAGTTTCTAATACCTGATGGCCTTAATTCAACCCCCAGAGCTCATTTATAATGGAAAGAGAAAACCAACTCCACAAAGCTGTCCTCTGCCCCCCACATGTGAACACACCTGCATACACACATCATGCGGACCCACACAATAATAATAAAACAAAACATAATTCTACCACTTACTGGCTCCTGCTTTATGCCACTCTCTACACAAGCAACCTTCTTCAACCCACACTGGCATAAAGAAGCTTACTGACCCTGCTTTCCTCCTAAAACCATGACCCTGAACCTACATTCAGTCCAGAGCCACCTGATGCAATGCAAGGGCACACAGAGGGGATGTCACCAAGTCAGTATTCATAGGAACCCTCACCTTATATGACGGTGACGTGTTCTTGATGTTTCCTCCCAGGTTCATGACTACCTCCGCAGCAAGTTGTGCTCCCTCTATGAAAATGACTGCATTTTTGATAAATTTGAGTGTGTGTGGAACGGGTCGGACAGGTAAGAAACATTCGGACTGAGAGCCCTTCCCTTGAGGAAACTTTGGACAATTTACCTGAAATGGGATACATCCAAATGGAGATCGATGTTGGGCCCCAAGACCTGGCCAGGATGCATTATGTGGGTCACTGACTGGAGTCTGTGATCACGCCTGTAAAGAGAAGGATGCTGTGAGGCCCCGAGTTCATTTCTGGGCTGGCACAGGTGACAGTTCAATGTCAAGAAGAAAATGCTGTCCTTAACATACAAGGCACCCAAAAGCTAGGGCCAAATGCCTACTCAAGACTACTAGTAATACACCAGCAAGTCCTCTGAGTATTGTCAAGTGGCTTTCTAGACCTATCCCCTTGAAGCTGCTAGAGCAGACTTGACTGGAGGTCCCGGTGCTTCATTAGCAGAATTCTAGCCAACCTCATTTATCACATTCCCTCAGAGTGATTTATTAGTGTTTTAAGGCCCTTGATTTCTACAATACTTCACATTACCTCCCAATAGTTCATTTTTAGTTTGACAAATACAGATGATTCTTTGACAGTCTGTAAACTAGATGCAGGCTGCTGGGGCTCAGTTAGCTCCTGGATGAAGGTGGCATAGTGTTCAATAGCATGAGGCTGTTCATTCATAGTGTTCCCAGTGGGCCATTCTGAGATTCCAGCTTTGAGTCTCTGACTAGCTTGGCCCCTCTTCCCAAACCACCACTGAATCCTCTACTGTAGAATTCAGCTGAACCAGATGTAGCAAACATGCAGCAAAGGACCCGAGTTACACGATCCAGTTTATACAGCAGAAGAGAGCAAAGCAACTAAGCCATATGAACCAGAGTCCCCAGGAAAAGAAGCAAGCCTCTTAGTTTACCACTTAAGTCATTGATAATAATTACACAACTGTTATTATTCCAGTTTGCCCTTCATTACCGTAGATCAGAACCAATGACTACTAGTTAACTATACACAAGACATTTCTACACACATCTTCTAATCCCAGCCACAGCCGACTAGGGTTATCTCTATCATCTCCATTTCACAGCTGAGGAAGTTAGGAGTCAAAGTATTCAGGACTTAGTGCGATGGCCCAACCTCAAACATTAGTAATCTTGAGCATATACGAGACCTCAAAGCCCACCTCCACAGTGACACACTTCCTCCAACAAGACCACCCCAATTCCAACAAGGTCACACCTCCTAATAGTGCCACTTCCTTTGGGGGCTATTTTCTTTCAAAACCCCCGACACCTCCTAACACTAACTTAAAGTTGGTAACCCTAGGGTCATAACAACTGGACCAAATTAGTGATCCAAGAACAAAAATTACCTGTAGAGTAAAAATGAATAATACTGATGATTATTGCAAACCTTTGTTCTAAGCCCAGCCAAAGAGCTTGGCCCTTTCAATGACTCAAAAAACAAGTCAATGCTCTCAGTTTAAACGTATGGTCCCTGTGAGCTGGCCGTGATAAGCATCATTTACTCCTGAAAGATGCTATGGGGATGGCTGACCACCCTTCTCTGTAATATTCAGCTTCCCCTTTCCCCTGCAGTGTCATCATGACGGGCTCCTACAACAACTTCTTCAGGATGTTCGACCGGAACACCAAGCGTGATGTGACCCTTGAGGCCTCGAGGGAAAACAGCAAACCCCGGGCTATCCTCAAACCCCGAAAAGTGTGCGTCGGGGGCAAGCGAAGAAAAGACGAGATCAGTGTCGACAGTCTGGACTTTAGCAAAAAGATCTTGCATACAGCTTGGCATCCTTCAGAAAATATTATAGCAGTGGCGGCTACAAATAACTTATATATATTCCAGGACAAGGTTAACTAGGAGGACAAGCTATCACTTAGTCTCACATACTGAATACTAGTCAAACAAGTTTTTAAATGTTTCTTTGGGTCTTCATTTGATGCATTGAGTTTCATTTCCCTATGCATAAAACGATTGGAATAGAATTAAAAAGGAGTTCAATGTTCCCAGCTCCCCAATTCTAAGGAACTTTTGTCAAAGTCAGTAGACTCGGGCCACTTCTGTTTAGAATCGAGAGCTGCCAACTGGCACTAATTCTTCCATAGTTGACTTGAATTTCTGATGCGTTCATTCATTGCTCGGTTTCCTCTGGTGGGTTCTGTGTTTTGTTTCTAGGTGTCTGCTGCGATAAAATGAGATTGTCTGTAGTATTTAAGGAGAAAAGAGATAAGGTTTTTTTTTTAATTAAGCAATTCCATTTGTTTGAAAAAAATCAACAAAAAATAAACACTGTTTACTCTTAGAGAGTTTCTCTTTGTGAAAAAATCAGGCCTCGCCAGTATATCTCCTCTGCCTTCCCCTCCATTTCCTTTTAAACAGTTCTACTGAAGCCAGAGACTTACTTCACAAGGCTGAGAAAAGGGTGCCGAATGGGAAGGGAAGGGACACCATGACACTGTTCTCTCTTTTGGTAAGTGCCATAGAAACAGCCTGGGAATGTAATGGTCAAAGCACCACAAAGCTTTAGGGAACTTAAAGAGAATCCTTTCTCCACGGGGGTTCCCAGAGTTTGCTTGGCAAGGCCAGCGGAGACCAGATCCCTACCATTCCTTGTTACTCTTGCTTTTATTTTTGTTTTCTTTTAAATGGCTCCATCTAATCCCTGCCTCCATGGTCCTTGGCTCTTTCCCTTCAGCCTCTGCCAGAGGATTTGCCCATTGACTTCTAAAGGCTGCGCCCTGGTTGCTTAGTACCAGGAGGTCTCAATAAAGCAGTGAGCATCCCCCTCCTCCAAGAAAGGCCGCCTGTTCTTCTGGGTTTATTCCTCCTGAGCAACCCCTCCTCTTTTCCAGAAATAGCCATCCATCAGTCCTCACTGTGTCTAAAACAAGGGCCCTAAATGATGCTGATTTGTAAGCCTAGGCACACATCTCTGAGCCCACTTCAAACTCACCACACTGGGAAAATAGACTTAAAGAGTTCCCTCCTTACTAACAACAACATACAGGAGGTGAAGGAGTGGGCAGACAGGGCCTGGGCCTTGTGTTCAAGTCACATATCCATACAGCAACACTCAGCTGCCTCCAAGAAGTAAGTCATGAAATATCAATTCGGACCCACCAGCATTCCTTTCCATCATTAATCACAGCGACTGGTCCATCCTTCTCTTGAGATGACTCACTACTTCAAGAAAGCCATTTCCAAAAGGAAGTTCAAAAGAAAAGTATTTAGACACTTAGAGAGGAAGCAGAGAAGGTGCTTGAGTGTGTCCCAAAGTGGGACCTTGGCTTCTGACTGTTACTCTGTTTTAATGCATCTCCCCCAATTTCCATCGGGTAGACAGGAAATAACTTGAGATGGGAGATTCTCACTAAAAAAATTTTCCTTCAGTTTCTGGATTTATTAAAACTCCCAATTTTTGCCGGGCAGTGGTGGCACACGCTTTTAATCCCAGCACTTGGGAGGCAGAGCCAGGCAGATCTCTGTGAATTCAAGGCCAGCCTGGCTACCAAGTAAGTTCCAGGAAAAGCACAAAGCTACACAGAGAAACCCTGTCTCAAAAAAAACAAAAACAAAAAAAAACCTCCCAATTTTTTAGTTTGCTTTGGGGGAGGAAAAAAAAATAGAAGCATCATGTTGTCTCAATTTCTAAGCTGTTGTCTGTATGCTAACAGCTTTGTGGCAAAGAAATTACTATCCACTTAAATCATAACAATTTTGTAAGATCCATCCCAATTTCAGGAGTGTGAAACACAAGCCTTTGCGTCTCCACACAGCAGGCACACTAGGATGAAGATGTGACTTTCCTAGTGTTTCTCAAGTTCGCTGCAATACCAGCTGCACCTTGGGCATCTTTCATGCCCATGGAGAAAACCCCTGGAGGGAATATGGCTCAATGAGACTTGATGAGAAATTCCTCCAGCTCCTAAAGAGCGTTCATGGATGAGGAGCACCAGGTCACAGATGCTTGCCATCTTCTTGGCCTTTTCTCAGCTCCTGGGGACTCCCCACCGCTGACTATGCCGGGTGGGGCACATACAAAGCATATTTACATCAAATTGAGCATCAGCCTTCCTTCGTACGCTTGTCCATTTGATGTGTATCTAAGTCACCTTTCTTCAGAAGCAAGACACCCTCGTCCAAAAAACAAGTATCCCTCAAATGTTGGTCTGATGTGCTGGTGTTTCTTTCTAACAGAACTTGCATCAACTGTTTATATGTGAAACATGAATCCACACAACTCCTGATCATTTTGTGAGCCACCAAAAGTGTGCTTCCTAAACTCCAAATGACTAGCACAGTGGTTATCAACTGGTGGGTCATGACCCACTTTGGGGGGGAGGGTCAAACAATGACTTAACAGTAGCAAAGTTACAGTTATGAAGTAACAATGAAAATAATTTTATGGTTGGGGGGTCACCACAACATAAGGAACTGTATTAAAGGGTCACAGCGTTAGGAAGGTTGAGAACCACGGAACTAGCATGACATTCCCTTTGGAGGCACTGGAGTATCTCCATGGTCTGCACATAACAGAGTCATCATTACTCCCCAGAACATACACATGAACAATTCTGGTCATCATGAAGGAGCTCACAGGCTCACTGAAATCTGTGGATTTCAACTACAAGCCCCCTCACTGTCTAACAAACCCAGCACAGAGCACAACCTGTGGTCTAAAGGTGGGTTAGGGATGCGCCAGATGAGTTAGAGCACACTGCCGCCACCAGACTCTTCATTGCACATGAAAGGGAGCCTCAGACAAACGGCCATAAAGACAAAACCAGGAAAGGATGTCACTAGGGCAAGGCCTCAGGCAGTACTAACCACCATCTGTCACCACTTGCCGGCTCTGTGCCAGATACGGAGCAGTGAATCCCTTTTCGTCTCCTTGAGCTCCAGGTATGCTTGACTTAGCAAACCCAGATGACATTCAAAGCTACCTGAAAACCAGCCTGCTATGGTTTTGGCAGCGTGTTTGGCTCCGAGGACCCTGTGCTCTATGCCGTAAGTGCCATCGTGATTTTGACTGGAGGGCATCAGTTCGGTTAAGTAAAATGGAAGGCATGCCTTCCTGTGCTATTATTAAAATCTTTTAAAGGTAACCTTCAGTTCCTGATGTCTAAAAGCAAAGCAACTCAAAAAGATGGACCTTGACAGGCAGCCATGATTCCTTAATCCAAAGGAGGAAGATAAGTCGTGAGAATTAGAAGTGACATAAGTCAGCAACAAGGGGCAGAGTGCCAGGTAGACAGGGAGTGGAGAAACAAACTTGTTTGTTTCTTAACTGCTTCCAGTCTGGCTCCTGCTCATCCTCCTATGTTTTAAGCACAACAGAGCAGCCACATCAGACACACTCCCTGAGGATTACAAAAGCTCCCCATGCTTTTTTGCCTCCTCCCTCAACACACAGTGCCATGGAATCCCACTTTGCAAATGGAGAGTGACAGATTGTCCAGATAGCCAAGGATATCACCAGTGAGAGATGGATCTTGGACTCCAACTCAATGTATCTGACTGAAGCAGAGCGGTTAAAATTCTGGGTCACCAACAGACAAAGCTAACACTACCCAGCACTTCTCCCGGGCCCGGCTTGGTTCTACAAATTACACACACATTGCCAGGCAGTGGTGGCTCAAGGGTCTTTAATCCCAGCACTCAGGAGGTAGAGGCAGACGGATCTCTGTGAGTTCGAGGCTAGCCTGGTTTACAAAACGAGTTCCAGGACAGCGAGGGAAACCCTGTCTCGAGAGGAAAAAAAAAAAAAAAAAAATACACATGCATTAACTTGTTTACCCAGAAAACTCAAGGCATGTATCTGACAGATATGTTCTAAGAATCTCAGCATCAGTCTGGCTTGCCTCTGGATTCACATGATAGTGTGCAGTATACAGGACAGCATACTTCTGCAAGCCAGATGGCAGATGTAGGTACACCTATTGCTTCTTAGCCATACCTCTGCATGACATGTAACCATGCCAACTATTATAGGCAACTGAAAGACACAGTATTTCTGTGGCTAAATGTGTCTGAGCAGATTTGTTTATACCAGTATCACTACAACCATGAGCAATGTGTTACACTGGGACCTAAGAATGGCCACAGTGTCAGGACAATAGCACACAGTAAGAGGAACCTGTCAACTCCCATAATCATATGGGTGCATGGGAGTCGCCCTTGACCATGTAGCATGTGACTGAACTGTTACAGTAAAGGAGACAAATGACAACATTTACACAATTCACAAACAATGAAGCCAGGATGCTTGGTCCAAGTCCTCATCCCCATCCCGCACTATAAATAGAGAGAGAAAGTACTGATTGGAAAGCCAGTCCTAACCAACAGTAGAGGTAGCCTGCCGGCTTGGGAGTGGGAATCAGGGACCAGATCTCAGGCAAAAGGATGGAGGTACTGTGACAGGTAAGACGCTGTCTCCACTGGAGGTAACAAGCGTGTAGGAGTTCCGCCCACATCATCGGCACATTTATAAGACCAGGCGGTATGGAGGAAGTGCAGGAACTACAGAGGGAATGGATGATTAAAGTGATAAGAAAAAGGTGACTCAGAATCTTTGACGTGTAAGCAGAAGTTTTAAGGCACATCACCCAGCATACAAACATGGTACAGCACTTCAAATAGATGGAACCCCACAGAGATGCTGAAACAAGAGTGGTCGTGGTGTGGTGTGGCATGGGAGCAAGATGAGAAGCCAACACTCCCCTTGTGCTATGAGAAACGAGTTTTCAGTCCCCCAGTGCTAACCCACCCCTGCTGGCTTTCCCTCATCCAGTAACAATGTTATTATTGCTGCTTGGGTTTGACTCTAGGGCCTCACACACAGCATCCAAGCACTCCACCACTAAGCTACTACACCCCTAGTCCCAGTTACAAGTATTTCTTAAGCTCCACATCCAAGTATTTAAACATAATAGATGGAAAAAAGAAAAAAAGCAGTACTTACTGAGCAGTCACCACGTGAGTATGAAAATCACCGCAATCCCTGTTGGGTAGAAATGCATTTCTATGATAGACTCAAAGACTTGCGTGACAGCCCAGAGTCTTATCCAGGTCTGTCCTCCTCCAGATCCTGCATCATCTCTTCCTCCACAGTGATGGGTGATACATAGAGACTTTGGCTCATAAACAGGCCCCTCTGTGAGCAGAGACCGGTGGATGGCCAGAAATAAGTGCAAAGGCCAGACACTCACTCAGGTCTCCAGCCTCCAGCTCTGACCTCAATGTTGATTATCCCCACCCCACCCCAATTCAGATCTGCCACATTGGATAAACTGCTGGGGCAGA